TAGTTCAGATATAATTTCTATCTCTATTATTGATTAAATAATATATCTATATTGATTAAATACAAAACATATGTGGTATCGCAGTGCTTATACTAATCACTTATCCGTTTTAGCTAATTTTTCGTACCTAAATAATTCTCGCTATAATTGCAAGATTGCTTTTTTTAGTAATGGAGAAAATTTAATATTAATTTCTAAATGGCTTGCTAACTTTGAATCGATCCAAGATGGGAATAAATAATCTCCACGGTTATATGCGTAACATCAATGATGCATTTTCGCAATCCACATAATGTTAATCCGCTGATGAGTCGTCGTCCTCCGGTAGCTGCTGGCGTTATCCCGTTTAGTTGCAGTGAAATCACTATGTCGTAGCGTTAATCCCTGTGTCCCGATAATCACGGTGGCTGCAATTCCTGCTCTATTAGACCCCAGCTTATGTCGCTCGTTTCGGCTTCCTTGCGCCCTGTTGATCGATTAACGTCTGTAATCTGACAATTTCTCTTATCTTCCTCGTGCTGGCGACCTCAATGATGTTCGCTACATCGCGCACAATTAAACAACAACAGTTTCCAAGTTCACATTTATCGTTTTATCGGTTTTCAGACGGAGATATCTAAGATGTATTTGCTTTTGTATTAACGTTATCATAATTTCGAGTTGCATTAATATCGAGAATATTAATGCAAAAAATGATTTGGAAAGAAACTGTTTGACCCGGCATTACCGAAGAGAAGTATGATAAAGTACTATAAACATAGTATTACTTTCATATTCAACAATACAATTCCTATGTGTCTACATTTGTAATAGAAACAATTTTAAAATAATTTTGAAACTTATAATTTAATATTTGGATAATATTTGGATTATACATATAAACTTTATTTAAAATATTTTGAAAATTTCATGTTGTTATTCATGTTACTTATGTTATAATTTAAGTTGTTAAATTAGATGGGGTTTAATAAACTCTATCTTAATAATTGTGCTACATATTTTTATTTTAGTAGCTCCGGATTAAAGCGTTTTGCGCTCCCATTTAACTTATCAAAGTATTTGAACAAATTTTCTGGCTTGAAAACTATACGTAATAATTTTTAACTGAAATTCCTCAAAATTATATTACAACTCTATAAGAACCATCAGAACGATTTCTATGAAGTTAGTATTTCATCAGAACAATTTTCAAAATTTCGATAATTGAATTTTGGCTCTTCTTCAACAAGTTTTGAACACATCGGAATTTCTATTATAGAAAATATTAAAAGGCAAATCGATTTTAATGAAAACAAAAAAGTCACAGTCAATTTTTGTGAGTTATTGACAAAAGTAAACGAAAAGTTTTACAATTGCCAAGTCTTAATTTTGATAATAACACATCCAATGTTTAAGACTATAATTGCATTCGTTGAAAAAATTATCTTTTCATCGTATTGCACAAATGTGAGGATACAAATCTAAGACGATATACTGTCGAAAGTTATAAGAGCTGCATACTAATCTGCTAGCGTTATGCAGAAAATCGGCGAGTTCGAAAAAGAAAAATATAAAAATGAAGAGCCTATCTCTCTCTCTTTCGCAAGAGATCTTTTATGGTTTGACAGCATTTCGTTCAACGAAAACGAAGATGACGATTATAAAGCCGCAGCTAAAAGACGCGGAAACTTAAACAATGGCCATCGCGCTCGTCTTCTTGCTTTTCTCGGTTTCAGAAAATATCCCTTCCCTGTCACCGCCATCATTCCTTTTTCTTTACTCTTTGGTCTCTTTGCCAGCTTCATCACCGCGATTCTCGCTTTTTGTTCCGCTTTAATCGATCTCTCTTTTCCTCCTCTCGCTGTCGCCCACGCGTCTAATCTCTGTCGGAGGAATAGTCGTTCTTTTTCTCGTTCGACCGCACCACTAATGGGATGCGAATAAGAGGAGGGGAAAGGAGGAGACTTGAACTGCTTTCTAATCACTCGCCTAATCTCGATCGTCCTATATTTATCCGGAGTGAAGGATGTCGAAAACTGACATTCAAGCGACGTCTACTATAGGTTACATTGTTCGGAAATAATTCATTAAATGGGGCTGCATTCTTGACACGCAAATAAAAGAGAAATATTAAAAAGATTTCGAAATAATGCGGATAATTTCGACATAAATTTTTAATCAATAGTTTTTAAGCCATAAATAATTGAAGACAAAAATTACCAAAACAAAAGAGAAATTTTTGTTTCAAATAATTTCAAATAAACTTACGTCAATATAAGTAATAAATTTACTTTGAAATTATATTAAAGATTTTTTATATATAAAAATATATAATTATTAATATAATTAATCTGACTTAACATATAAATAGTAAAATTAAGAAATTACTTCAAACATTTCAAAACACATTTCTCAGAAGTAATAAAAATCGCGCAACTAAATTCTAAATTTGCCCCAAAAAGTGAGAAAGAAAATTGCAGTGTACGTAAAATACGTATCAAAAAGATGTAGACTTGTGAAATGCTTTGAAAGTAAATGGCTTAATTGCTCGAAGGGCTTTAAAGCCCCAGGGAACTTAGGGAAAAAAATGATACCTAATAGCAAAGCAAGATTTCTGTGTCATAGCGCCTAATGGAGTTACGAGTGCGCTAGGGAAGCGGTAGACAACGCGCAATTGAAGAGAGGGTTGAAGTGTCGCGGAATAATTAACGAATTTCCCGACGGGACATAAATCGCGTTTTAAGCGTCGGAAACCCTATTTTCCGCCGATGTTCGTGGAAAATGGCGCGGACCCCACCGACGGTGAGATTAGCGTCCCCGCTCGCGCGAGGAGCGGGGACGAGCTTTTTAATTGAATTATGTCGACCCTTTCCCGCGGGGAGACTTTTGTTCAAGAAGAGGATCGCGACCGCGACAAATAGCCCCGACTGTGCAACACCGAAGCGGCATCGTCGTTACAAGCACAGGCGCAAGTCGTTGCATACGAATTTGCATAAGAGACACGCCGCGCGCGGCGCGGCCGCGTCTTGCCGCGGCTCTTTTTCTACGGAATTCAATTTTCTATCGTCCGATACTCTCGAGCGCGCCGTTTCTGCCGGCTTATGTAAATGGGTCTCGCGCCGCGGGCGCTCGTGAGCGAGAAAACGCGCCGTATGCGGAGAAAGCTCGGATGCGCGCAAGGAGTAACGGAGGCTTTGCCGAAGATGCGAAGATGCGATTCTCCCGCAGCGTCGCGTCGCGTCGCGTCCCGTCGAATCGAATCGAATCGATTCGATTCAATTCGTGTGCACTTAAGTACAAGACGCGTCCCGTACATATAGGATTTTTAAAAAAGCGAAAAAGAAGAAATTTAGATCGATTATTAAAACGCATTATTCCCGACGCTTCGGAATATTTTATGTTTCGTTTGAAATTTTTCGCTCACGGCGAAAAATTGACTTTAATTTCGCTCAAATCGGTTCGTTTCCATTATATTCGATCAGAACGAACGGAGACGCTCTTCCGTTATTTGTATACGAGACGCGTGAGGAGCGAAGGAAGTGATTCTCTCTCGGGATGATTACGTTTCCCCGTAAATTGAGACGCCTATATATTAATGACACGTTTGCCTCTGTAATTACAGGTGGGCGATAGAGACACGCTTACGTCGGTGGCGGCGCGATTCGATACGACGCCGTCCGAACTGAGCAAATTGAACAGGCTCGGAAGTACTTTCATTTATTCCGGTCAGCAGTTATGGGTGCCGGCGAAAGGAGAAGGTCGCCCGGGAGGCGGATCTGCCGCGGATGCGCCCAGCCCTGACCCTTGCCACGATCACGAGTCCCAGGATGACCTACCACCCGAAGAAAAAGGTAATCTTCTATTTAATCCCTCTTGAATGCTGACCTATTGAGTTATCGTAGAAATGTTTACTGAAACCGATATCTCTTCGAGTTCATGTTCAACAAAGAGTTACGTTTGCAAGATGTTCTTTTATTTTGCAAGCAGTGCAATTTAAATACTTAATGTCGGATATTTCGGGAGCAAGGAGATTTTAATCGAAACATTAGGCGCTCTTCTTCTCGGCATCGTAATCTCGGGAGAAAATAATCTATATTATTGTTTAGCGAACGAAAGCGGAGAAGCGGGAATTTGTTTGCATATCATTACGACATTACAGATAGTCCATAGTAATGATAAGCTTTCGCGAGGGATAGATAATTAAATCCTTACTAACGATATAATCCGGCCTTATTGTGCTCATCACGCTTATCGTCAAATCCACACGGAGAGAATTTTATTTTAAAATTTACCCTGAAAATCGTAGGATAATGTAGTATTTTGACGAATTTTATGTAATTTTCATTATTTTTTTAAATATATGTATACTACAAAAAATTTGTTGTAGTACTGCACAGTGCACTGTTAAATCTGTAGTGTTAAACTGAACCTTATTTAAGTCGCCACTGCTTCTACTTAATAAATAGTTATTTTTTACTAATCAATGGAGTTAAATAATTTAAAACAGTTCAAATTCCACTCAAATTTGGGTTAAATTCTATTGTTTTATTTAAAAGTAACTCTATTGTTTTAGTTAAAATTAACTATTATATTTGTTAAGTGGGAGCAATGGCGACTTAAATAAGGTTCAATTTGACACAATAGATTTAACAGTGTAAAATTTATCGAAATACTATGTTGTACCACGATTAACATGATTCTCAGGGTAAATTTTAAAAGGAAATTCTCTCCGTGCGCGCGGAATTGAATGGCCTTACGAAGTAAAAGGAAGAAATATTTTCGACGACGTTGAAAATCTATATTTTCGTTGATAGAGTTGAGAGAGTTGGAAACAGTCTAGCCGTGTCACGACGTCGAAGGACGACGCAATCCTCCGTTTCTCCTCTCCCCCCCTCCCCCTGTTTTTTACGACGCAAAGAGGGCGTGCAATTAAAACGGAGATTTCGTTCTTATTCCCGTCGGATTCGTCGCCGCGGGGTCTTGTAGGTATCCCGTCTCGCATTATGCTAATGCGCAAGACAGATTTGATACACGCGTAGCAGCGGCGTGGCCATGAATAATGCAGCAGGATCCGCGGAGCAGCAGCTACGCCCGGGCGTCGCGTCGCGTCGCGTCGTGCGTGATACGCGCTAGATTGGCTCCCACCTGACTAAACACACGAAGAGGAAAGAATCGGGGGATATCGGATATTATCTGACTGCGTACAAAGTCGACCGCTCGAATGAATATTAATGCCGTTACCACATCGCGTTACGGCGGGCTCCCGAGAGATCGATACGCGGAGCGCTATTGTGACTAACACGATTGCCTTTTCGCGTTTTTATTCGCCCGTCGCCCGCGGCGCGGAGCCGCGGAACCCTCTCCCCCCCTCCTCCCCCACACACATTTTACCTGTCGATTATCGGACAGAAGTAGGTAGTCGAGGTATAACTCGTCATTGCGTATTTGCGCTAATTAGGATAATTTTTGGCTCGAAAAATGATCGCCACTGTCAGAATAATGCATTATCATACTTTTAAATTGTCATTTTTTTTTCTTAAAATTGAATATCGAACATAGATCATTTCGTAAGGGAAAGTTAAGTAGAAAAATTGTGTAATATATTAAACTGATGATAGAAAAAAAAGTGTACGTAAAAAGTTTGTGTAAAAAAGGGAAAGTCAGTTGGAAAAATTATGTAATATATTAGGTCATTTGGTACCTAAGTATAATGTCGTATTTGTTTTATTTCAAAGCTCAAAATCAAAAAGCTTCCATCGAATAGAATTAGAAAGGAACAAAGTGATAATTACATTTTGTATTACATTAAATTAAATTAATAAATATAAGTTTTATATTTCAAGATCTTTTAAAAAATGCGACATTATACTTATCGAATAATCTAAATATTAAACCGACAGACACAAAATTTATAATAAAGAATGTGTTAAGAGTGATTAATAAATTATTTAAATTATTTGAACAAGTTTGCGGTGTATTTAAACGAAAATAATGATATATATATATAATAATTTTTTCCTTTGAAAAGAAAAAACAAGATACTTTGTAATGTCTCTTTCGCTACATAATGTGTGCATATTGACGGGAACAGACGTAACACATGTTCACGCGCGGAAACATATCTAACGTCTGACGAAATATGTAGCTGCTTATTTATTCCCGACAGCCAATTAATATCCGCATTGCACGCATTTGCGAGGGAAAATTGTTGGCGCTTATGACGAGCGCGATGGAAAACGATGGAGCTGACGTTACACAATTTCGTGATTCACTGCTCGGGCTGTTTGTCTGTTTTAGCGGAACAATAGTCAGGCGAATTGTTACGCGCGCTCGCTCAAAGTTTATTTATGTCTTCTTCTTCGGGAAACGCTTTGTCACCGTCGCTATCGGCGCCGCTGCCACCGTCGCCGTCGCCGTCGCCGTCGCCGACGCGGGACGATCTCCGCGTTCGCGCTGTTTGCACCCACCGCGCAACGCAAAACATCGCACACGCGATCGCGACACATTCGTACGACACGTGTGCGCGGCGTCACGTTTTGCATTGCACCGCCGAGGTCGGTCGATGAGAGGGGAGAGGAAGAAGGCAGCAGATTGAAGCCGATTGCGCGCGCGGGCCGATGGACCTCTGCGTCTTCTGCGAGCTGTGGCTCGAGACCCTCGGAAGGTCGAGGCGGCAAACGAGACCGCGAAAAGCGCAATCGCGTCGTAAAGGTGCAGGCTTATGTTAGGCTCGGTTCCACAAATGTAAAATTAACTTTAACCACGGTTTAACCTTTAAACCACTATTGTGTATTTCTACCAACGTGTAGATTAACTTTAATCTAGTTTTAACTTACTTTGTATCTTTTTCTACTTTTAAGAATTAGAAAAAGATAAAAAGTAAATAAAACCGTGATTAAAGTTAATCTACATTGGTAGAAATGGACGTATATCGGTCTCATAGACCGCTATTTTGAGATGTTAACAATTTTGTCAACAATTTTCTTATTTATCATCATTTAAATATATCTTACTTCTATTGTATATGAGATTTTTTTGTTAACCCTTTACATTGAAACATAGTTTTCCTTTTCCCCATCAACGAGTATTCAGAAAACATACATTTTTATTACAATTAACTTATGAAATTAGCGAGAGCATAAAGCGGTCTGTCAGACACAGATTATCCAAGCAAACTGTCAGAGACCGATATTGTGGTTAGTGTGATTTTTTTTTGGTGGTTTAAAGGTCCACTCACTGTTTGTTTCTTTCTAATTTTTATGGATTAGAAAAAAATGGAGCGAGTTAAATTTCGGGTTAAATCGAGTTAACCGTGAATTGTGAAACTGGACCTTAACGTCTCCCGCGCATTCTCGACGCAAATATACATATATATACGAAAGCTATTGATGTCTCGACATCTTCCCGCCGCATCGGCAAACCGAGGTCAGATCGAGAAAGAAGTGAGAACGTAACGTGAACGACGGAATGTATACGAAACGTAATATATATATACAGGATGTCTCATAATAGGTGTATCACCGTTCATGGGTAAATAGAACAAACTAAACAGAAAAGTCCTCTATCATTTTGCAAAATGCGCAATCGTTAACAAGATATTAATTTTTGAAGATCGGCAAATAAACTTAATATCTCGTTAATAAACGCGAATT